ACAGAGGCCCGCAACCAGGGAACATATTTAGGTAGAGTTAAGGGTGGACCCAAGAGTGTGTTTGGACCAGCAGATATCCAGCCCAGTGGTAGAGAAAGCACCTGAACAATGACAACTGGACATTGGTCTTTACTGGTTTCTGGGCAGTTGGTTTTTCTGAGAGATGCCCCACATCTCCCTGGAGGGGCACACTGGCACATCTAATAAAAGCTTCTTTCTTCTCACGGTATCTCTTTCCCTGCTGCACTTTCCTTTGCCTGTTTTTCCTTTTCCTGCCACTAGGGCACTGCTCTACTTTTAGACACAGTTTCCAAAGGACCGAGGTCATTGCAATGGCATCACACCCATGGACTCCTGAAATTGTAAGAGGTCTTCCTCATATTTTTGGACTGTCAATTGAGGGCATTATTCTTTATATAGAATTACCTTTAATATTTTTAAGTCTAAAATTTATTAGTGACAGATTCTCAAAATTCTATTTCTGTCTTATTTTTGTTTAATATTTGAGGCATATGTTGAGCGAGTATGACTATGTTTTTTGGTTTGTTCAGTTTTTGTGACATAAGAGTTTGAATACCTTACTTCATTTCTCTTTCTTAATTTTTTTATTGTTGTGCTGGCATTTACAAAAGTTCTTACAATATTTTAAGTATATCATGCTTGAATTCACTCCCTCCACCATTCTCCTTTATCCCTCCTCCCCCACTCCTACAATAGTTTCAACAGTTTTCCATTTACATACATGTATACACAGTATTTGTTATATATTCACCCTCCTGCCTTTCCCCACATTCTACCCTCCCCTAATGGTACCAACTCCCCAGACAGGACCTGTTCCCCTCTCCTGATCTCTGATTTTGTAAAAGAAAAAAAAAAGAGACATGTTTATTTGTTTAAGACAGCTATCCAGGGAGTTTCCTTGTGGCATTGCCATATATTTATGTACTATAACCTGAATTGAATTGATTCATTTCCTCTGTTGTTCTTTCTAGCTTAGTCCTCTTCTTTGGTGATTTCAAGAGGTTTAAAAATTCTATATTCATTCTTGTATAGAGAGGAAATCAACCATATTCACCTTTTTAACTTCCTTCTTTTACCTTCCCTCTCTTGTATGTGACCTCCCCTTAGCATGACCTGTTTTTCATAATATTGCTGTATTTGTATTAAGTCTGTATTCCACATATACCTCTCTGTTTCTCTCTCTCTCTCTCTCTCTCTCTCTGTGTGTGTGTGTGTGTGTGTGTGCGTGTGTGTCTCTGCATCTCTGAGACATGCTGGATAGGCAAGCATTCTGCCACTCATCCAATGACCTCAGTCCTTTTTTGCTTTAGTTATTAGTAGTTAAGTTCTCATATTTTTTCCTACCTCCCCTGTGATCCTCCTACCTATGCCTCCTGTGTAGCTGGGACCACTGGGTCAGGCTACCACACCTGGCTTATTTGTTGAGATGGGATCTTTCTAACTGTCCTGGCTGACACTTCTCCTAAATGAACTTCCTGAGTGAATGGTAATATAGGTATGTGCCACTGTGCCCAACTTCCTTTATTTTTTACTTTTGATTCAGTCTTACTTCCTCATTTGGATTTGCTCTTAAGCCCTCAGTGGTCCTTCTCTGATTCTTCAAACTAGCTAAAAGTAAAATTACTCAGCTTTTCTCATTGTTCTTCAAAGGAGATTACATGTTAGTCTATTATTTTTGTATGTAAAACTATTTACATTTATAAATATATGTTTTAAACATATGTACATAAGTGTGTATGTACACATTCATTACATATATAGTATTTTCCTTCATTTTAAAAGTAACTTCTTCTGGCTGGTATATAGAAATACAGGTGCTTTATTTTTGTAGGGGTTTTATGTCAGCACACACCCAGAGCAGAGGTGATTATAGGTGGCCACATTGGGCAGCTCCCCTTGTTTCCATAATGTAGTTTTAACCTTTGTCCAAGTTATAATATGCAGCTGATGTTTGATACATGATGTTTGATTTCTTTTAGTGCCTGCTAAAACAGTTTGTTTAGGGAGTTTCACATCAATGCAAGTTGTGTACTGTCAAAGGCCTTTCTTAGTTCATTGAGGTAGTTATATGATTTTTACATGTTAAATTAACCTAATTCATGTTCCAAGCAAAAACTTCTACCATTGCTGGCTGAAATCTAAACAGGTCACAATAAAGATCACAATTTTGACACAACTTTGTTGTGTTCTTCATAAGAGAACAAATTATTGTAGTCAGTTTGAAAGCAGTATGGCATGGTTAAGCTTGTTTGCTTTGTTTTTTAAAAAATTGTGTCTACCTAGGCCCTAAGTCCAAGCAATTCAATTTGGTTATATTATACAGTATTTTTGAGATCCAGCACAAAAAATTATTTCAGTTACTTATGTGTCTTGGTGTGTAGAGCTAGGGAATTAGATAGGGTTTGATATGTATTACTATGTGATCATTAAGAAAAATGTACTGGGTGACACTGAGCATTTAGAAGCAATTCACTAGAGTCACATAATTTCTTTTAAGATTTCCACTCCCTAAGTGATCAAGCGAAAGATGAGAGAAAGAGAAGAGAGAGGGGATTAGAATGGCTGACTATTCTTTATAGTTCTGAGTACTTAACTGTTCCAGAGACCTCCCCACCAGGGGAGTAGGAAAAGGTCCTGTGACTTCTTAAGTTCCCCTTGCCTGTGAACACTTTTCTTTTCATCAGATTGTTGACCCTGTCACCTGGGTTATTATTAGCTTGGGGATAGACTTGAAAAAGCAATAAAAATTGTATAGTTAGGAGGACAGTTTTAGGTTTTAGTTGTGTAGAAAGAATAAGATACCATGTTCTTTGCACAGCAGAGTGGCTGTAGTTATAATAATGGATAGGTCAAAATAGCAAAAGAGAACATTGTAGATATTCTCACCTTCCTAAATGATAAATATGTGAGGAGATTGATATGGTAATTAGAATTATTTGATCTTTCCACAATATACATGCATATGAAAAGATCACATTGTACTCCATAAATTTAGACAATTATTTGTCAATTAAAAATAAAGCTTTTAAGAAAAGAATAATCCAACTAGATGGTGTTACAATTCCACAGTCTCTAATTTCATGTTTCTCAGGAATTGTGTGAGATTCCTATTTCTTTCTCCATATGTTAGGGAATCTTGGGAAGAGAAATTTATTTCCAAATATACAGCATAGTTTTATACTCCTTGTATAAAAAAGCTCCCAGTAGCTCTTCTGGATGGGCAAACTTTCCTTTGAAAACCTGCAGAAAATAGAGCTCCCAAGAAGGGGATGTACTGCCTATGAACATCATGCAGAGAACCTAGAGAGTACTTTCAGCTCACATGGTAAACAGAGAAATCTTATTTTCTCTGTGGAGTAGGGAAAGGGGGAATGAATCATTTTCTTATTCTCTTCTTCACTCTCTATACTTTGGAATTTTTCCCCTCTTCATTCTTTTCTTTTCCATTTCTCCCTTTCTCTCCTTTTTTCCCTTCCTCCCTCAACTGTGAACACATACATTTACAATAAAATTCCTACTCCTTCTATCACGTACAAAGCCATACAAGATCTTGCCCCTGTTTTCTTCCCTAACTTCTCTCTGTCTGTCCTCTTGGCTGACAGTACTCCAAGCCCCCTGGTCTGCTTCTGTTCTTTACACAAACCACCTTGGACCAGGCCTCATGGATTTTCCACATGGCCGTCTTTCTCTAGGATCTCTCTGCGTATCTCTCATGGCTACCTCCTTTCTATCATTTTGATCCTACTTGAAATACTTCTCTAAGATTCTTCTCTAACTGGTCACCTCCATCACCACATATGACACTCTATCACATTTCCTGTCACAGTACTTTATGATGAATTATTGTATAATATTTTATATCTTTGTTTTTTGATTATATTTTTCCTTTACTAGTAGGTAAAGTCTTTCAAAGCAGTTATTTCAGGTGTCTTCTTGACTCCCATATATTCAAGCACTAGAACAGTGCCTGGGAGTAAATAAATATTTTGACCATCTGAGTGTACACTAGATACTGTTGAACTGTGGTTCACTGATAATAAATAGGAACCATATTATTCCCTTCCAAAAGAACCTGAATAAAGAGACTTGAGATGTCTTATAATTGTTTTCTCCCAGATGCATCAAGAGCAGGTGAGGGCTCTGTGGTATGTGAGGCACAGTGATGAGTACATGTTCAGGAAGAATTTTGTGCCAAATTATGCTATGATAATTGCATTGCCCTATTCAACTGATATTTTCATAACCACTCCTTTTTGTTCAAGCTTGGGGGAGGCCCATTAAAATGCAAATGAGAGTGATTAAAATGTTAACCTAAAAGTATAGTTTATAGGAATCAATGTTGTTCTTACCTCCATAATGTTTTCAAACTTATGGTGAGGTGTGGAACTTCTTTTCAAATGAAAATCCTACCCAAAAGTGTCATACAAATTATATAGATATTGATACTCTGGAAAAGGGGTCATAGTGGAACCTGTGCTCTGCCCACCAGGCACCTCTCCTGAATCCTTTGCCTTAAAATAGTATCCAAATGATGATCTGGGGGAACCCATAGCTCCACCAAGCAAAGTTCAAGATGATAGATGTTAGATTAATGCCCTCATATGGGAAACTGAGGCCCAGGGAGCTGACCTGATTTTCCAGTGTCTTAAAATTACTGAGCAGAAGGCTCCAGCCTAACTCTTTGAATTGTAGCACACTAGGCCTTTAACTCATTTATTGTATATTCATGGGCGATGAGTGCTGGAGAGTCAGATTGGAGCACAGTGGGAAGTTCCTACAGGAAGAGAAGATTCAAATGCTTTTAGGCTCCTTCTGGGGCCTTGCTAACAAATCTGGTATACCTCCATGACTGTGGAAGAATCACCTCATAGCACTTCTCTTCTTGTTTGGAAATCATCTTGAGTCTGTCTTTAGTGGTAGCAAAAGGAAATGAGACTGCTTTCTCCAAAGATTTATTTTATTATTACTTTATTGTCCTGAATCTGCACATATTAGAGAAAAGACCTTTACCCATAGGGGCCTTAACTTCCATCGATGAAGAGCAGCATGGCTCTGATCAGGAAGGGTAGGTACATGCCATGTCTCCTCTGAGCTCCAGATTTAAGGGGAAGCCCAGTTTAGAAATATACTATTTGGCTGAATTTATGAATCCATATCAGGCACTGTGCAGATGATTTTTGAGGCTAGCTAGGAGTTCAGAGTCAAATAAGGAACCTGTCATGTTTGGAGACACTCAGTAGATCTGTTTACTCAAATGAAGATTTTCAGAGATATATGTTACCTAGCAAATATAGTTTAAGAATACATTAATTTGATTTCCAACTACATGTTGAGGTGGGTGGACATCATTTGTGCCATATGCAATTGTTATATCCCAGGCATCAATGACGCCCACTTGGAGATCCTGGAAAATATCCTTGATGATGAGATACTGAATGTAGCCATGAAAGTCACTGAATCTTTCTGCATCATTGTACATCTCCCTGATGTTTTCTGTCTTAATGATAACCATAGTGTCTGGGCTTCTCAGAAGAAGACGCTGAACAGCTTTGTAGACACTGAGGGCCCTTCGGATAAAAACATCAATGGGAAAGGGTCTGAAATGCTGGCCCAGAGAAATAACAATGACAGTATTCTTCTCCCCTCCAGTTCTGTCAATTACCCTGGCCATGTTCTCCATCACTTTGACGGAGTAGTGCAATGATCCAATCAAGGGGTAGCCATGTTTTTGCCACTGGATGTTGATATTCCTATCCAAGTCCACAGCAAGCTGGTGTCGCAGTTTTCCAGATTCATGCAGATCCACTGACTTCAGTGCTAGTGACAAATGAAAAGAGAACAGTTGCAAAGATTTGTCAGTGATAAAAGATTTGGTGTTTAGAGTTAAGCTAATCATATCTGGTTTCTTATAGGTTTAATCAGCTTTGAAAATTATTTGTACAGTTAAAAGAGTTATACAAACGTGAGAGATATTTGCATTCTTGTACAGCCATGCAGATTGAAATGTACTGATGTTGAGAATAACATCATTTGAGGATGATGTGTTAGGTTTTGTAATTATTACTTTTGTACAACTTGTTGCTTGTGGTCTGAGCTTATTTCTGGATAGTAAAAGCTACTAATAGTTGTTATTTACATTGAAAAACTGAGTAAACTAATTTCCCCAACTACTCTGTAAATTTCAGTAGATCTGAGATTACATGCTAATTTTTCTTTCCTTCCATATATATTAATGGAACTTAGTACATAATATAATAACAACAACAATAATAACAATCATCATTTGTTACTGTTTACAAAGCAATGTATTTGGATTGACTGCTTTTCTCAATGACACTGGTATGTATATTTAATTGTCATATTGTAAAAAGAAACCAAGAGAGGAAGTCAAAGTACTCAAGATAACAGTGTGTGACAGAATTAATATTTAAAGTCCCCTTATTTCTTGTGAAAATTATCTACCTGATCTTTACACTTCTAAAAAGAACCTCACTATGTATAGAGTAGAAAGCAGTCCTTCCATTTTCATCAAACTTTAAGCCATTATCAGAATATGAAGGCCAGCTATTTTTTAGCTAGAATTTCTGAAGACAAGGTGTAGTCAATTGTTATTAATGTTTTGTACCATGTATCATCTTAGAAGGACTTTGTTTGAAGTCTCAACCAGTGAGGCTGTAAAATAGCAATGTGGTACGATGATTGTAGGAAAATGTGAGAACTGCATTCTTCATCTGCTTTCAAATAGCTTTAGTTTTTTTTTCCTAAAGCAAACTCTGGGCATAGAATTCAACTTTTAAGAAAATGTACAAGAGATGTCTTCCTACTATGACTCATCACACAAATTGAAGAGGGTAAGTAACTCCATAACTCAGTGTTTGGATGACCTAAGAAATCCACATTGTATACTGTGATGCTAAAGATTATCACCAGACCCTTAGTTTTGTAGGTGAGGGAAGTAAGGTAGTGAGGCACTCATCATTTACTAGAGTTCACAATTTAAAACTCTCCCTCTGTTGTAAGTTCTTCTTGGAGTGCAGACCCTATCAGTTTACCCTTTTTATTGAGAATTGGCTTATTTTCTAAATTGGAGATTACTAGAGTGGCCTTACATCAAGAAGGCCAGAATGGAGTCATAGCCTCTGTGCTGTGCTCAGTGATAAGAGCCACGACCTAGGGACATAGAGGGGCAGGAAGTGATGGTTTTCTAGGTAGGATTGCTAAGATCTCTTAGTGGATACTGATTTATTTCTGGTGGATACTTGTTTAGTAAATAGAGCAACTTGTTTAGTAAATAGAGCCCCAACTGTGACATTAGCCAATAGTATCACTTTTTGGGCAATTTGTATGTACCAGTGTGCCTTGAAGTATGTTAAATACTCTTTATGCATTATGTATTTCATCCTCAAAAGAAACACCAGGTACTATTATAATTCCTGGTTGACAGATAAGGAAAACAAGGCAAAGAAAATAAATATTATGTCCTGTCGTTGGTTCTCTCAGTCTAGATCTGCTGACTCTGTTCCTCATGCTTTGAATCAGTGGGCCTACCTGATACAGAACTATTATCTTACATTTGTATCTTCCATATTATCAGGTAACAATAGAAGGGATGATAACTTATATCAAAGAGAAATTATTTTGTGAGAGATAATATTCTAAATGCCTCATAGATATTACTTCATTTTATCGGGTGGGTAGTCCTTTCATTTCCAGTTGGCACAGGAAGAAACTCTGGGACAAACTGTATTGGAACTTTTCCAAGATCACCCAGATACAATGTGATGTCATGTTTTGAACCCAGGACATGTGCAGCTAGAATTCACACCCTTAATCATTGTGCCAACTCTAGAAGGAGGACAGTCTAATCTCTTAAATCATCTTTGTCTACATCAATAATTTTCTAAGTATACTTCATAAATACTGAATTCTCTAAGGATAGGGAGTAATACACATTTTTCTATACTGGCTTCCTTCTAGTAAGATAAATGTGTGCTTTTAATAAAAAGATCACAGTGTATTGTAAAGACTTTTGGTATGTTATAATTAAGAAATATGATAAAGAAGAGGAATTTCCCCTTGAATTGAGAATGAAGTTTCTGAGGGGATGTCAATAATGGCTTCTACTCAGGCATACTTTTGATATTGGCTTTGAAGTATTCCATCCACTGACGGATCGTGGAATCTCCCAGCAGATATATGAATTTTCCTGCCAGGCAGTCTTTCATTTCCACTGGAGCCAAACTGCAGGAGATGGATTCCATGTGTTTTTCCAGACATGGCCACTGGGGGTTGTGGATGGGATTCCAGGCTTGCATTTGTCTTTCATTGGAACTGTTTCTTCTGTCAAAGAACCAGCAACATAGGATCTTCTAAAACATCAACTTAGTTATCAGTATTCGTTAAAATCCTTCTGAAGTGTTCTCTTAACAGCTGTGTTCATAGGCTTATAATGGGACAACTAGTTTTCAGTAAAAATTTTCCCTGGTGTGCTTTTCCTAAATGATACCCTTCAGTATTCATTTTAAAATCACAAGTTTTTCCCAAGACAAAATGGACTTCTGTTACAATTAATTTGTTGCCTTCTTATGAATGCAAGTTGTCAATTCTTACATAGTGTGACAGCTCACTTATCCTCTCATTTTAGCTACTTTGTCCCTCATTTGTCACACATTCTCCCAGTGTTTCCAGTGCCTCATCAAACTATAATTGCTTTGAGTTAGAGGCACAATGATCTTAAAAATATTACAATTAGCTTGGCTTGGAAATTGGCCAATCGAAATGGATAAGTCTGTAGGATGCAGAGAGTGCCAGAAGTCCAAGAAGGGCTACTTAATCACTCTTAGTCACTACTTTATGAAAAGTCTGAGGGGATAGGGTATACCAGTGACAAGTTTGGGATGGGGACTATTCAGCATCCAAGAGAGCAGCTTTTGTGTATAACCACTGCTATGTGTGCTCCCATATATCTGAAGTAAAAATACAAATTCTACAATCAGATACATGTTTTTACTACAGTGTGGACAAGTGTTTTAGCAATTAGCAAGCTTTTAAAGGTGTCCTTAGGGGAACATAAAAACTTTTGCCTTAAATCATTTCAAATGGTTTTTACTTTTTTAAAAATTATTTTACTTTGAATTAGCATATAATAATAATGAGGTGTTCTCATTGTGATAATTCCTTACATGTGTAGTTTACCTTGAACATACTACCTCTTCCATTATATTTCCATTCTCCCTCATTCCCCTTTTTCAAACATTGCTTGGTGGGTTTCACTATGCTATCTTCATTTGTATTATGTGCAGTGTATTTCAATCCTGAGTATCCTTTCTTTTCCTTCCCTCCCACTGATCCCACCTGATAGTCCTCCATATATGCTTATGTCTTATCATCATCACCATCATTCATCAACATCATCATCCTCATCAAATGGTTTTTTAAAGGCCATTTAGAGTCAAATAAATTAATGGGAAATTAGTAAATATAAACATAGAAGTTCTACCTTGGAAAAAATGGTTGGAAAGATGACAAAGACCAGGAAGGAAGAATTGTAATGATGATTCCTAAATGACAGGATGGAAACCTCTAGATGATGACTGTTTGGCTACCAGTGATAGGGTAAGTCATGATAGGGATGGTGTGGAGAGGGTAAGGTATAAGGTAAAGTACTGGGAAAAGACTTGGGAGAGTTTTTACATTAGAGAATTATTGTGTATGATGTACAGGTAATTTATTACCTGATGCGTAGATTGGTGGTGAGAGATAAGTTACTAAGGCAGGTAGGTGATATCCTAGTTATTCAAACATTCACTCACAGATAGTCTTGGTACCTTGGCCAGCCTTAGTTAAGTAGATGAGCAGAAAGCTGATGGAACTCAGACAGTGAAGAAGTCCAGTAGAAAAAGGAAATACTAAGTGGATTAATGGTCAATATCACCCAGCCAATACAGAAGCACTCACCATTGCATTTGGAAACACTAATCACTTTGAATTTTTTCATAATATCCACACCCACATTTGACCTTGAAGAGAAAAAAATATAGAAATTAATCTGTAGGTGGCCTTAATTAAGGAAAGACTCAAAGGCACAATTATGCATTGCTTCTGTTATTTCTTAGTGACAAGCCTACTACCATGTCTACAATTTCAGGCTATTTAGTGAATTTCCATTTCTATTCCTCTTAGTTCATAGAACACAGGTACCCAGAAAGTGTGCAAGTCAATTTATTGAGATTCAGAAATAACATATTAGGACATACACTTGTATTTCTCATTCTCTTTTAGTTTCTATTCCGACTATATTTTTTTGTTCATGGATGAGGATTAAATATCCAAAAAATTTGGGTAGTACAGGACAGTAAGCACTGGTTTCAAATAAATTCAGAGATCCTTTCCCAAATAGATCTTCTTAAAGAATCTCAAAGCTGTTATACACAGAGAATTTTCATTTGAGAGTCTAGCAATAATCACTTACCTTTCAAAGAGGCTCCTTTCCTGTTTTGTAAGATAAGAAACTTTCTGGTTCTTGGACTTCATGTGGGTGAGTGCAGCACAGGGAACATGTGGAGGTCTCATGCAGTAGAAAGCTTCTTGATCTTGTGCATCAAGATACTGGCACAGGTCAGAAGTTGAATTTAAAGCCAGGCCACACTCACTGTAGACCTGGGAGGCACCACTGGAAAACTGGCCTGTGAAGATCACCCTGTCATAGCCTTGGTTCCTTGCCCTCCAGAGAGCAGACACCCCTTCACTGGGGTGGATGAGTAGGACAGACAGTGAGACCTGGCCCTCCCAGAACAGAGTGAAGCTGACAAGGTAGGTGCCATTGTTGAAGTCTGTCACCTTTCCTGAAGCTCCTGCATTCAGGGTTGGGGAGGACATCCTGGCCCTCAGGAAGTCCCCGCCATATTCCTTCTTGTGTCCCAGATGGTCCCTTGCCTCCAGCAGGATGTCCAGCTGGTCCCCCCTGCAGTATGTGTCTCGAGGGTTGAGGATGGTGATCATGCTGTGTGTGGCACTGGTGGTTGTGTTTACATGGGTGAAGGGTCTGGGTGGGATAAGCCAGTCTAGTTTCTCCAAGATTTCCCTGACTCTCAGTTGAGTGTCATTTGGTGAAACTACTGGATTCAGTGGTGCTTCAGGGCCTGAGGACTTCGAGATGAAGTTCCAATGATGGAAAGAAATGGGCAACTTGAATGCAGTCCATATCTGAAATGACAAGGAATATAATAGAAAACATAGAAAAAGTTTCCATTTAATGTAATAATTTTTGGTTGGTTAGCCAACTTTTATCTTTTATAGAACAACGAGAGGTACAAAAACTTAAACAACACTGAAATTTGGTGGTCATATATGTTTTATATGCAAAGTACTTTTGTTTAGAAACTCTACTAGTATTGCTATGGTTTTCATTGACTAATAATCTATTTTGGATGAGACAGTCAACTCCAAAGATCCCTAATATTTTTAAAAATGGTGGCTATAAAAAAACTACCTTACAGGGCAACTGTAAATACAAAAATGAGGAAATGTTTTTAACTGCATAGTAGAGAATGAATACTTATTGTTTTATCTTTTAACTAAAATTTAGTGAAAAATGATTATTCCCACACATATAAAAGCTGAGCTGTTCATCACTACCACCAGATGTACCTTACAAAAAATGTAAGGGAGTTCCTTAAGATGAAAGAAAAATGGTGCTAATTGATAACATAAAAACATATGAAAGTACAAAGTTCACTGGTAAAAGTAAATACACAGCAAATTCAGAATTCCTTAATAATATAATCGTGGCATGAAAATCATGTCTTTAGTATGAAAGCTAAAAAGCAAAATTATTAAAATGATAATATCTTTACACTGGTTCGTTAAAGTACATACAATACAAAAAGATGTATTGTGAAGACCTCTAAAATGAAAACTATAAAAAACTGAAGAAAGAAATTGAAGATGCTAGACTATTGAAAGACCTCTCATATTCATAAGTTAATAGAATATTGTGAAAATGTCTATACCATAGAAAGCAATCTATAGATTCAATGCCATCCCCATAAAAGTCCAATGGTTATTTTTACAGATATAGAAAAATCAATTCTAAAAAATCACAAAAGATCCCCGAATAGCAAAAGCAGTACTGAGCAAAAAATGCAATGTTGGAGGTATGACAATACCTGACTTCAAATTATACTACAGAGCTAGAGTAACAAAACAGCATGGTATTGACACAAAAACAGATGCATAAACAATTGGAGTAGAATATAAGATAAAGAAATAAGCCACACAGCTATAGCCATCTGATTTTTCAACAAAGGGGCCAAAAATATACACTGGAGAAGAGTCTCAGTGACAAATGTTGAGAAACTGGATATCCAAACATAGAAGACTGAAACTAGATCACATCTCTCACCCTGTACAAAAATTAATTCAAAATGGATCAAAGATCTTAATGTAGGGAACCAAATTTTGAAACTACTAAGAAAACACAGGGAGAACACTTGAAAGTACAGGCTTAGGTAACACCTTTATGAATAAGTTTCCAATTGTTCAGGAAATAAGAACAAGAATTTATAAATGAGATTGCATGAAATTAAAAAGTTTCTACACAGCAAAGGAAACAATTACCAGAATCAAAAGAAAATCTACAGAAAGGGAGAAAGGATTAATATTGCAAAGACATAAAGGGCTCCAAAAATTAAACACCAAAAGAACAAACAATACAATTAAATAAATGCACAAATAAATTGAACAGAAGAAGTAGAAATTGATAATAAATACATGAAGAAATACTGATCATCCTTAGTCTTAAAAGAAATTCAAATTAAGAGTATATTGAGATTCCATCTCACCCCAGTTGTAACAGCCATCATTTAGAAAAAAACAGCACTACTGTGTGATCCTGCTACACGATTCCTGGTCATATATCTGAAGGAATGTTGTAAGTCAGCATACGGTTGGGATACCTGAATACCAATGTTAATAGCAGCAGTGTTCACAACAGCCAAACCATGGAATCAACCCAGGTCCCCACCAACTGATAAATGTATCAAAAAGTGGTATATATCTATATCTATGTCTGTCTATCTATCTATCTATCTATCTATCTATCTATCTATCTATCTATCTATCATCTGTCTATATGATGGAGTATTATTCATCCACAAAGAAGATGTAACTGGAGATCATAATGTTAAGAGAATGGAGCCAGACTGAGATAGAAAAATATCACATGTTGTCTATCATTTGTGAAATCTAGGCCTTAAAAAATGATTACCAGTCGTTTAAAATGAGTACTGTTTGGATGTGAGACCCAGTGAGAAGGGGGGGAGGGCAACATGCAAGGGTGAAGCATGGGTGAATATAATCAAAGTACTTTATATACATGTATGAAAGTAGAATAATGAAACCTGTTAAAAGTGTTTTGCAAAGGGAGAGGAGGATAAGAAAGAGTAATAGAGGGGGTGAATTTGATCCAAGTACATTAAATGCATGTATGGAAATATCATTGATGGTTTGTTAAAGTGTATCAAGTGGTAGAGTGCATACCTACCAAGAATGAGGCCCTGACTTCAAAGCCCAGACTGCCAAAAAAGAAATATCATAATGAAACTCTTGCACAATTAATATTCACCAATAAAAAACAAGTAAAATACTGCTAATGTTAATGATAAAACTTTAAGCACCCTTTTGAATATTTATTTTTTCTGTAAGTTCTCTGAGATGTTGGTGGATGGGGTGATTTGACTCCCTAATTGACAGCTCTTAGATATTTCTTAGAGTCCCTGGATGCCTTGAGTGAAAGAATATCAGCCAAGCAGCCAGCCAAACTTATCTTCATGCCAGCACCAGCTATTTCAAAAACTCTACAGATTCCTTGAGGAAGGTACATAATGACAACAGCCACTTTGAGTTCAAAGCATGACTCTGGCTCCTGAAGGCACCACACTAGAAGTCTGCACTGGAATTTTTTTCCACCACAACCCTCAACAAACTCTACATGACCCAACAGTCATTTCCAATGAGGCCAGTGGGCAAGCACTTCCCCTGGTGGCACAGCTGAAGACCTGTGACTGTTGCAAACACATTCCTTAGTGTGTATAAGGGATGGTCATGATTGGTGACAGGGATTGTACCATGACTGGTACAAACAAAATTTTTCATTTGTGCAGAAACCCTTGTCCTACCTCCTTTCTGGATTTATGAGCAAGCTGTTCAATTCACTTCGTGGCCAACTGAAAGACACTCTCCTCTGCTGTTCCCTGGTATTGCAACAGCAGGTCCAATAAAGAATTCTCTTGAGTAGTCTTCCTTGCCTACTTTTGATTTTCATCATTAGTAGAGTGACTGATATGGTAATAGAAAGAATACAAGAGAAAAGCCAGCAGTGGAGGCAAAAGTAATGATGAGGCGGCTGGAGATCCCAGCAAGAGTAGTGGTGGAACTGACAAGGGGTTCCTGCAAGAGGTGGCCAAATGCAGCCTCGCATGTCAGGGGAAACCCTCCTCTCACCCCCTAGTTATAGAAGCCTATGCCACAGCTTCAGTTAGTCAAAACACCAGCCCTCACACCTGAGGCATAGGAGCTGTGATACTAGAGGATACCACCTAATGCTTCCTGCTGTCATCTGTCACTGCTGCTCACCAATACTACAAAAAACCTGTCAATGATCTGGAATAACTGGACAAGTTTCTTCTCACCTACCCATGATATCTATCCAGGTAGAGCAGAAGAACCTTAGCCACTGATTTGTGATATCATTAGAAGTAAAATTGGACATTTCATAGTGATTAAAGGATTAATTTGTCAGAAAACAGTCATCATAAATGTACAAGTATTTATACATATGTATGCCTGTGTATGAAGAAAACAAATTAAAGAGAGAAACAGAAAATTCTATAATCATAAATAGAAATTTAACAACCTCTCAGTAGTTGCTACAGGAACTGTATGAAAATATGAGTAAGAACCTATAGGATATAACCATTATCATAATAATATTTTATCTATTATACCACATTATCAAATATTTTTATATTGTTATTTTAAGTGAAAAGTACAAGTGATTTTTGGAATGGTAGAATAATTTTTTATGCACAAAATTTTTGGTAGAAATATAACAAAGCTTTTTCAAGGAAAGAAGTCCAAATGGCCAAAAAACACATGAAAAAAATGCAAATCAAAACCACATTAAGATTCCACCTCACTCCTGTTAGGATGGCCATCACCAAGAACATAAACAACAACAAATGCTGGTGAGGATGTGGGGAAAAAAGGAACCCTCATGCACTGTTGGTAGAAATGTAAATTAGCACAATCACTTTGGAAAACAGTTAAGAGGCTCCTCAAAAAAACTAAAAATAGAACTATTATATGATCTAGCAATCCTCTCCTAGGGACATACCCAAAGGAATGTAAGTCAGGTTACAATAAAGAAACAAGACACAAGGAAATATGTTGAAAACTGTCAAACAACACAGAATGGGGGAAAAGGGAGAGGAAGGGCAGTGGAGGGGGGTTACATTGATGTAGGCACAATGCATGGGCAGGCAAAAATCCCACTCCCAACAAAGACACATAAACAATGAAGGAAAAGAGTGAAAAGCAGGAAGACACTAACAGGAGGAGGAAGGTAAAAGAAGGAAGTAAAGAAGGTGAATATAGGTGATGTACTTTCTATACTGAATGAATATAAAATTTTTAATCCTGTTGAACTCACCAAAAGAAGAGGACTAAGGTAGAAGAGAAAAATGGAGGGTATGAACTGCTTTGGGATATGTCATATTGAAACTTTCTTTTTTCTCAAAAATGGAGGACAGGAACATAAATCAGATCCTGTCTGGGATTGGTAACAGTGTGTGTGTATGTGTGTGTATGGAGGATATAAAGAAATGGTAGAGGGGGGTGAATATGGTGGAAATAATATCTGGTCATGTATGAAAATGGAAAAATGAGACCTGTTGAAGCTGTTCCAGGAATAGGGGAGGGGGATAAAGAATCATGGAGAGGGTGAAATTAAGTAAGATATATTGTAAGCACTTTTGTAAATGTCACAATGTACCCCTAGTAGTATTTCAATAATATAATAAAAAAAGAAGTATAATAAGAAAATTCTTGTACAAGGTGGAGGACTAAGCACATATTATAGCCTCAATTTCTTACCATAAAATACAGAAAAGAACTTTGTAAATGTTCTGAGAAATGGGAAGAGATGCCTTAAATGAATGAGAATTTATGTGGAGTCTTCTGAAAAATTAAAGACAGATGAGATTAAATCAAGGAAGAAATTCACAGCTCCAAACACAGATGAATATACTTTCTGTCCTCAGAGAGATATTAGGTGACATTAATGAATTAATTTGAGGTCCCAGAAAATTAAATTTTGCTGTTCATTACCTAAAAGTCCATTTTACCCCTCTACAATTAGAACATATAATTTTTATTTTAAAAACAGCATTTATAAACAAAAATTATAACAGCATATTATAAAATACATAGATATAAATTAACAATTTTTTATGATCTGTAGGCAAAAACAATAGAACTTATTGAAAGATCTTAAAGAAGGCATAGACAAATAGATACTATATGTTGCTAAACAGAAAACAAATATGGAGATTTTCTGATTTGATTTACATAGTTAATGCAGTGGGTATTTAATGTACATAGGATTTTTCTTTAAATCTGGCCAATTCTGATGTATAAGGAGAAATAAAGGGCTAGGAGTGGCCAAGGGCCTTGTGACGTATAATACGTAAAAATGTGAACTTCAAGCTATCAGAGATATTATGAAGGTATTGTTATTAATTATAGCAATGTAGAACTGTCACAGGGAAGACAAGTTGGTCAATGCAATAAAACAAAGAGCCCTGAAGGGCACCGTCACTTGTTTGAACATTTGATATAGTACAAAGGTTACATGGTGTGGAAAGAAAGGACTGCAATAAACAGGCATAGCTCAAGTGATAGAGTGCCTGTCTAGCAAGAGTGAAGCCCTGAGTTCAAACCCCAGTACCACCAAAAAGTAAAAAAGTGACTATTTACATGGAAATGAAAGAAAAATCAGCAAATCCAAAATCAAACAAGCAAAACAAACCAAAATAAAACACATGCATTAAAAGCTTAGGTGTCGAAAGCAACATTTAAAAATGTTAGAATTTTTAGAAAAACAGTCTGATATTGAAGTATAGAAATGTTTCCTTCAAAAAGCATCAACTATTTTTAAAAGGCAGATAAATGTAGGTACATAAAAATACTCTGTTCTTCAAGAAGTTCCCTTGAGGAAGGTTTGAAAAGACAGCCAAATGTGTGAGACAATAGTTATAATACATATATAAATGACAAAGAAAAAATGTCTGTATAAACACACACTGCCTTATCCTCATACATTTAATAATTATTTAACAATTATTAGCTGCATCAGTTTTTAAACTGTGTGCAAGCTGTTGAACCTCCCCTACTATAATCTATAGGTCTTTTAGTTTGGACCTTCCTAGAATAGGTGAGATAATAAATTAAAAAATACACTTATTAAAAACACTGACATAAAGCACTTCCTACCTTTGTAGAGTTTTGGAAAACTGTAAAAGTGATCCAGAAGGCTAATATAAACAACAGTATCAACAATGATTTTCGATTTGTCATAGCAGTTTTCATGATTAGAATCCTACAAGAAACAAGAAAAAAACAATCACACAAAGACCACAAAACAGAACAGAAAAGCACGGAAATACATGAAATTTTAATGCTTCCTGATTATCTTTATCCTCAGACAAGTTACTCCCAGAACTAAATCTTGGTTCTCCCAGCTGCCCTTGGTCCCCCAGTTGCTGTCTTTGGCTTTGTTAGCTTGTACGTTCCATAGAAGAGATGTTCTGTGGAGCCCACCCCTAAATATAAGAAGCTCATCATCCGAGAAACTGAAGCATGCTGGCTTGCTCATGTGTAGTGAAGTCACTGTGGTCACCTCTTATTTCCTTCCCTATTCTAGTCCCTTAAGCAAAAGAGCAGCTAAAACACTTCAGGAAATCCTGACACTGAGAACTAGAGTCCTTCTAACGTAAATGGATTTTCAAGCTTCCTTAATCCCTTCTTTAAGTATGTTCTTACCTGCCTTTCTTTCACACTGCAACCTTGGAAAGAATTGTTTTAAAACTCCATGTTTACTTAAAAAAAACATTTTTGAGGCTTTATCAATGTTTTTCTTTTATTCATATTAAGATTTGTCTTTGAGAATTGCAAGTCACCTTTTAGAATCAGATTGCTTGGACTGGAGAGGTTGCTCAGTGGTAGAGCTCCTTTCTAACATGCACAAAGCCCTGCATTCACTACAAGTAATGCAAAACAAAACAAAACAAAACAAAAAAAACAAAATAAAAAAACCCCAAAACCAATCAGATTGTCTGAACAAGGGCCTTCTAAAATTTTCCACCCCTCAAAATTTACTCTCCTGTAGAAGCACCTCCTATCCTGAACTCCCAGTTTATACATAGACGTTTAAGGCTATAAAGAACAAATATTACCACTTCCCCTCACCTGCTCCATATTGCAAATATTTTCATACCTTTAGTGTGAAGACTTTAGTCTCATAACCAGGAACTACGGTGAGTTCAGTGTACAGGTTTTCTTCTGAAGCCACCAGCATGGTTCTGGGATACTTCCTTCCTGTAACCAAAACCAATGACAGTTGCAGTGTGGATACTTTTTGCGTGGCTTCACATCTTTTGTATGTTCCAGTTTAGAAATGCCAACCATGCAAGCTCCACCTTAAGGAGGAGCCTGGATCACAAAGTGCAGCTCCCAGGTCAAGCAGAACCAGAAGACAGAAGAGAAACACTCTGGGCAGTAGATGAAGGGAATCCAATGTCCTGGAACTTCAGCAGTCTAATTCTAGCAAGCATAGGAAAATGCCTGACAAGGAAAAAGTGACCGAAGCCAGAGTTTGAATGACAGACGTAGTCACCCTTGGAGAGTTGAGCTTCCTAGCTTCCGTTAAGACCCATGTGCCAGGATTCAAGTGTATATTATCTTTGTACATAGTACATACTCAAAAACTTTGCTGAATTGAACTGTGGGCACGACGACCATATTGATTACCTCTCAGGCCAAGAGAATCAGAGCTTGCCCCTATAGATTTGAATCCCTATGGGGCTTGTATTCTTTTTCCCCATACATGCCCCCACATTTGAATTCTTGATATGATAGAAATGGTGGCAGAAACAGGAGGTGACTGGGCCTCACGTATAGGATCCACAGGAGGCAGCAGCTTGTTACCCTGTGGCTCCATATTTCTCATTTACGCTTCTCCTCAAAAGAGGTTAAACATATTTGAGCATGTCCATCAATTCCTCCAGTCTTATTTTTATAAAGAGCAAGAAGCAGGACTTCTTTCATAAGGCGTTTCCAGATTTTTATAATCCTTTCAATGTCATTGGTTTAGCTCTATCAAACTAGCTTTAACAATACCTCTATGTCTTTACATAATGACCATTAAAAAGCTGTTAACCATGTGTGGCTGGGTATAGGATCGCTCAGCTGTGCTCTAAGGAGCCCTTAATAAGAGAAAATATTTGCAAAGGGTTAGATTTAGCTGCTCTTTACAAGCCACCATTCAACTTAACAGCCTACTCGGAATCACATAGATGTATGGTTTTTATTTGCTCTAGTCATATAGATACTGATATTTAATGTGAACCTGGCATCATTTTATGAGGTAGATATACTATATATTCTTGACTTAAAGAACCAAGAGCACAGAAGAGAGTTTAAACAATTTGTCCAGGTCATCTGGTAAAGTTTGAAGCAGTGAGTCCTGAGTTCCTATTATTTTGATCTCTGATTCAGAGAACTTTCTACTACTCTAACACATATGATATAACCGGGTCAGGGTAGACACTGTAGTTCATATATTTATTGTTCATTATGCTTAAAGAAAAGGTTCTTTTTCAAAATCATGTTTTCCTTCAAAAGTTCAAAAACCTGGTGTGAGCAAGACATGTGGTCCTCTGAAATGGATAGCCTTGCAGTTAATGTATGTTTCTTCACTATCGTTGATTAGTTTTCCTTCCCCTAAAGCATCAATCTACATGAGGGTTCTAAACATGGGAGCTTAGTCTTGGGTAGGATCATGTATATATGAGTTTGCATAAAAAATATAATCTGGTAGATCTGTGGGGAATGAATAGAGTGAGAACAGTATGGGCAAGAGTCTAAAAGAGCCAAAGCAAAATGGGGTGCATGTCTCCATCAGGTGAATTAAAGGGCAGGGGTCCAGGGAATATCAACTAGAGGCTGAGCCACGGTTAGAAAAATGGCTACTGTGCTCTCAGGAATCAAACAAGATGTACTCTATCACCAAGAAGGCTATACCACAAGGTAGAAAGACTCATTTGCATGAGATCTGAATATAGGAAGAGGGTCCTTAGCTCTAAGAAGGTGAACCTAAAGACTAGGGAGGATGCAACATCAAGAATGATTGAAGATTCCGGCATCGAGACCCTGGCATAGGACTCTTGAAGTAATGATGAATGGCATAGGCTACTGCAGCTCAACCTCAATTTTTCAAGAGGAGAAAAAGACCAATCCTGTGGCAGGTACATGGACAGAAAGCTCACATGGCTCCAGATTTAAAGCTAGTCACAGAGGGTCATGGACACTGCCACTTTCAGTTATGCAAAGGGAAAAGGCATAAAGCCAGAGTGACTGCATGCCTGTGGCCTTCTTTGGAAAAGCTAATGGAAACCACCACACCTGATGAGGCACAGGATGTTTCAATACATTAGCAAAGGTGGCACAGTTAGTAACTGGAAGAGGCAGGCCTGACCTAGATCCCAGAGCTGTGTTAGAAACCGCTATCAGGAACTGCTGGAAGCCAGGAGGTAGTGGAAGTTGTGAGGCAGAGAGGAAGGGTAGAGAGTAGATGTTAACCACAAAAGTAGGAGGAACAGAAACAGAAAGAAGTCTGTCACCAAAATGGTAGATCTGAACATTAACCTAGTTCTACCGCTGAGGTGGCATCAAAGCCATCGTCAGGACAGTGTCATGTCTCTTTCACTTAGATCCCCAGTAGCAGTTATGATCTCTGAGAGACCTTGGGGCATGTTGGGAGTCTGGAGAAAAGAACTTTAACCCTCCCCCCAAATTCTCATGCAGTATTCTCAATTGTGTGAAATTGTCAAAATTACACAAAATCAGCTATACGTGCAAGTCATTGCACTTTTGTTTGCTGAGATCATGCAATAACCTGTTTCCCATGAAGATGAGGAATGAAACTGGAAGACTGGCAGCATCATATTTAATCTTACCAGACTTTGATGCTTTAACAATACCAGCAGCATCTTTCTCTGGTTTCCATTATGCTTGAAATGTATACTAACCTTTTAATTAGGCAAATAAACATATTTGTGCAGATAGTGATATGGTTGATTTCCAAAGCAACTTTAAAGGATTTGGCCCAAACAGGAAAATATGGACACTTGGTCAACTAGCCAACTTTAGACCAAATTTTGTGTAACAAATTTGTCTAGCTGAGATTTTATTCCCAAGATAGTAGAGCGGAATTTAGCTTTAGAATTTGTAAGCAATTTTACCCTTGAGGGTTCACTGTAACACTTCTACCACCATGGTCCTTTCAGGCATATAATTATAAAGCACGCATATGCCTCTTTTCTTGAATATTCCTTGATTCTCACTCAATATGGACTTGAGTTGCTCAACATTTTCTGAAAAGATCCAGATCATAAAAATTTTGGGACAAGTTGTAAACAAGAAAATGAAATGGTATACTAAAATTAACGTTGTGGTATTTGGCTTGAATTAGAATTAGCACTATGTGCTCATGTTTTTTAGATAGGCAGGTAGGTAGGTAGGTAGGTAGGTAGATGATAGATAGACAGATAGATGGGCAGGTGATAGAAAGATTTGCTTTTGTATGCATACATGGGTTTGTGCAAAGACATATTTCTAAGCTCTGTCCACTGAGAAGTCCTAGAACCAACGGTACCTAATGGCCAGATCTTAGTCTCTAAATTCTCCAATAAAGGCAAGCAGTTCCTTGGAGGAGTGTTTTGTCAATCCCAACACTTTGGGAAAGAATATATGATGCACCTGGAGCATCTTGTGCTAGGAAATACTTAAAAAATAGAGGACATGTTAAAATGGCATAGAAGCTACACAACAAGTAGAATTTTAAAAATCCACTATTCCATTCCTATAAAAGTAAAAGAATAAATAAATGGGGGAGAAGAAATATTTGTCTCCATAGGAGAATTCTAAGTCATAAATGTAGCAAAAGTAAGGAAATACAGAATCACCAATAGAACACCACATTAATAACTGCTGTAGTAAAGATTGCTGATGAACCCTAAAATTAGTCAGCCAAGGTTTGAGGAGAAACAAGAGTATGTTTCTACCAATATGTTTATATCTCTCCAAAATGAAAACTGTAATCTCACAGTGGAGAAACTCAACAGACATCATCACTCCCAAGTGATCAAGGTGAGTATCATATTTTGCTTCATGAATGCTCAACTGAAAATGGTACACCACTTTAATTGCATTCTTCACAAAATATACTACCTCAATCTAACTATGAGAAAATTTATTCTTTTTTAATTATCCTATTATTATTGTACTGGGGGTACATTGTGCTATTTATAAAAGTTCTTATAATATATCATAGTTGAATTCAGCCCCATCATTCTCCTTTATCCTCCCTGCCCCCCATCCCTGGAACAGTTTCAACAGGAAATTATGGTAAAATTTTAGACAGAACAAAATTTAAAGAGTTCTATAAAACAAATGACTAATACTCTTCAAAAGTGTGACCATCACGACAAATGAGTGTCACAGATTGGACATGAGGGAAACATGACAACTAAATGCAATGTGCTATCAAAGATTGGGTTTGGGAATAGAAAAAGGACATTAGTGGAAAAGTGTGTGAAATGCAAATAAAGTTTGTCGTTTACTTGATAGTCACCACTGTACCAAGGTTAATTTCTTGATTTTGAACATTGTATGATTGCTACACAAGATGTTATCATTATCTGAAACTGCTTGAAGTTTCTATGAGAATTCTCTGTGCTATTTTTGAAACATTTCTGTAATTCTAAAATCATTGCTATTGTTTGGATGTTGACACGTGTTAAAGGTTTGGCCCTGAGGGTAGTGCTATAGAAGAAATGGTGAAACTCTTGAGAGGTAGGGCCTTACGTTAGTAAAGTTTCCCATTGCTGTGATATGAAAAACTAACTTAAAGTAGGACATATTTATTTTTGCTCATGGTTTCAGAGGTTTTAGTCCAAGACTGGCTGCTGGCTCCATCACTTTGGGTCTCAGGAGAGGCAGAACTTTATGGTGTCAGGATTATGTGGCAGAGAAAGCTGCTCACCTCATGGCAGCTAGGAAACAGAGAGAAACAGAGGGAGAACGGGCCAGTACCCTTTGAAGGCATGCCCCCATGACCTTCCTCCTGTAACTAGACCCCATCTCTTAGTTTCCACCACTTCCCAACAATGCCCTCAAATTACAATTGATTAATCCAATGATGAGGATACCGCCTTTCTAACCTAGTCTCTTCTGAAAAGCCCATCAGCTGGCAACCAAGACTAACACATGCGCCTCAGGGGTCATTTAGATTCAAATCATAACAAG